AGGGCAAGCCTTCCAGTGCTCATGCCAATCCCTTTTGGACAAAAGGAGGGAGCAAAGCGCTTGGCAAAGGGTTGCAGCAATGCTGGCCGCTGGGATGTTGCACAAGGCATGCCTGCCCAGAGGGGAGCCCAGAGGAGCAGCTGCCCTGTGGAGGTGGTCCTGAAAGTACCAACTGCGATGTCAGGAAAGGGACCGGCCGACGGCAGGCAGAGGGGCTGGGGCTGTGCTTCTGCTGCTGCTGCTGCTGCAGGGCCCAGAGGGCCAGGCACCTTAGGGAGCCCCTGGGCCTTAGGGGGGTGGGCTGCCTCAGCACAAGGCTGCCTGCCTGGTGTGTGGCCTGAATACACAGCCCGGGGGCCTGGAGAGGCTCCCCCCCGGCTTCCCCCCCTGCAACCCTCTGCCACAGCTGCCTCGGCTGCTGACTAGGATCTGAGCCCTTTCCCTTTCACCAGGCAAGCTGGCCCAGGTGCTACAAGAGGCGGAGGTGGAGCTGATTGACAGCAGCACGTGCAACGGGGCTGGGGCTTACCGGGGAGAGGTCACAGAGAAGATGCTGTGTGCGGGCCGTGAGCGGGGCCAAACCGACACCTGCCAGGTAACGAGGCTGCAGAAGGCAGAGGTCACAGTTGGTCTCTTCTTCTTCTTCTTCTCCTTCTCCTCCTCCTCCTCCTCCTCCTCCTCCTCCTCCTCCTCCTCCTCCTCCTCCTCCTCCTCCTCCTCCTCCTCCTCCTCCTCCTCCTCCTCCTCCTCCTCCTCCTCCTCCTCCTCCTCCTCCTCCTCCTCCTCCTCCTCCTCCTCCTCCTCCTCCTCCTCCTCCTCCTCCTCCTCCTCCTCCTCCTCCTCCTCCTCCTCCTCCTCCTCCTCCTCCTCCTCCTCCTCCTCCTCCTCCTCCTCCTCCTCCTCCTCCTCCTTCTCAGCAGCTCCCAGCAGCAGCAGAGCTGGGACAGGAGAGGCCCCAGGAGGTGCCTCTGGACACCTTTGGGGAGCGAGGGAGGCTCCAGGCCTCTTTCCCGGAGGCTGGCTTGGTCCTGGCCGGCCTCCCTGCTGATGCTCGGCCCTGGCCCCGCCTGCCGCCTTCTCTCTCCCCCAGGGAGACAGCGGAGGGCCCCTGATGCACAGGGAGCAGGACCGCTGGCACGTGGTGGGCCTTGTCAGCTGGGGCCAAGGCTGTGGCAGCCCCAGCACCCCAGGCGTTTACACCAAGGTCCAGGCCTACCTCAGCTGGATCCACACCGTTCGCCGGGTCAGTATGCCGTCCTCCTCCGCCCCTGCTCTCCTTGCCCTGAGCTGGGGGAACGCTGGGTGGACGGCAGCGGGCACAGGCGGCTGCTTCAAGGCCCGGCTGGAGAGACGCCTTTCCACCCAAAGCGTTCCTTGCTGCGACCATGACAGCCGAGGCGGTGGTGGGTGGCGGCAGACCCTCGGGTTAGAATTGATGGGACGCCGTCTTCTCCTTTTTTTCAGTCAGAGGCCTGAAAATGGATCGGCCCTCCTGGTGGGAGAGGCCCATGCGTGGGAGAGAAAGGCTTTCTGTCCCTGTAGCCCCTCCTCTGAGGACACTGAGAAAGAAGGGGAGGAGGTGAAGGAGAGCAGCCCCCCCAGCAAGTTTCCAGATGCAGAAGACACCCCCCTGGGTGGCTACAGAGTTGCCCTCTGCAAAGTCTCTGGGCTCAGCGTTGCTGGGGCTTTGTGCCAGCAGCCCTCCCGCCACCAGACTAGGAGCTGGACTGCGTCTGCAGACGGGGAGAAGCCACCACCTCCACCCCACGTCCGGCGGTCTGAGCGTACAGAATGGGAGAGCCCAGGACACGTCAGGATGGACTCCATGTCCCAGCACTCCATTGGCCGCTGTGCCTCCCCAGAGGCCTGCCTGGATCAAGCCCTTTTTCTGGGCTGCTGCGCCTCTCGCTGCCCCTTTTCTCCTGGCAGGCGATAGGACCGAGGCCAGGGCAGCTCGTCCCAGGACACCTGCCTCTTGCACCCTGGGCTGCTGTCTTCTCCCTGACCCCACACACCCAGTCGGGAATAAAGCAAGGGGTCTCTTGCACAGGAGGATGGCTACGTCTCTCCCCATCTGGCCAGATGGCGTTGTGGGCCGAGGTCGGTCGGGCCCCGGCTGGCAGAGGCAGGTCCTTCCTGGGCCTCCTGGCATTGGCTGCCAACTCTGGGAAGTCCTTCCCCAGCAGCTCATGACACCTGCCCAGTTTTCAGGAGGGAGGGGGAGCAGGACAGACTCCCTGGCTACTGATGGGCCTGGCATGACCCAGGGCTGCGGCAGGCAGCTCAGACTCAGGCCCCCGTGCCTTGTACCCAGTGGCACTCAGAGGCATGCGCATGCTGTGTGTTCCCCCCACTCGGAAAAAGAGGAGGCAGCCGGAAGGGGTCTCGGTGGTAAACTGAATGCTTTATTTCATTCAAGACAAGGTAGCCAACTACAGCTCAAGAGTGCAAAGAGAGACCTCCCAGGCGAGGGAGCAAGGAAGTGCCTGCGCGTGGCCCAGCGGCTATGCTCATCTGCCAGGCATGCACTCATGCAGATGGAACCCCACATTGGCCCTGGCGCAGATTGCCCGCCGGGCACCTCTTTTCCAAGGGAAGGGGGAGAGGGTGCCCACGGGAGCATTAGGGAATCCTCTCACCACACCCGTGTGGCCCCACACAACGCTGGGCTGGGTTCTCTGTGGGGGACAATGGGCAGCAGGTGGCTGGATGAGGACAAGCCCTTTCCAGCCGTCCGACTTCACAGGCAGAGAAGGGGGCTGGGGAAGCCTTACCGCTCCTGCCTGGGGGGGGGGGGGAGAAGCATTTCCAGTGGGAAAGAGCCAGAGGGGAGGTTTCCCAGAAGGGTACACGGGAGGATCTTCCCACCGGGATCTAGTCTCCCCCATAGGGCAAACCGGCTGGCCGCTGGCCCTCATACCAGCTGTGCCCCCTAACCTCCAGCAAGACAGAGGCTGCACCTGGAACCAAACCCTAAAAGCAGGCATCGGAGAGGGCGTGGATCAAAATGCTCCCCCGCCTGCCTGCCTAAAGACCTTAATGGGGTTATTGCCAAATCTCAGGAAGGTCCCATCGCGGCAACAGACCAGCCTGGAGGGGCAGTGAACAGGGGACAGGATCTGCGGTGGGGGGGGGAGAGGGTTGGCTGAGAAGGCGTTTTCTCTTTGGTTTGGCTGCTGTGCTCAGCAAAGAGAAGCCATTGCCCTGAGGAAGCGGCTCTCCCTGGCCTGCTGTGCTGATGGAGGCTCAGGGGTGGCATTATTGCTCTTACACCTCCATGCCCGAATGGAGGAGGAAGCAGGGCACGGAGGAGGAAGCATGCACGGGGGGGGGGGGGAGGAGAAGGTGGCGGCAGCAGCATCTGCAGGCTGGGACAGCAATATCTGGAGAGAGCTGGGGGAGGCAGGAGAGAAGCTGCTGCCACGAGCCAAGCCCCGGAAGCTCCTCCATGGACCCCCCGGAGAGGGACAGCCATGGCCTGCAGTGTGTGTGTGTGTGGGGCTTGCCGTTGGTTTCCCCAGCCTTCGCCATATCTGGCCCATGAAGACAACTGTGAACTGAGCTTCCTCCTCCTCCTCCTCCTCCTCCTCCTCCCAGCCCTCCTATGAGGTAGTTCAGCGCCCTGATCCCCACTGTGTGGCTATAGAGGCCGAGGCACAGAGGAAAGAGGGGGGGGGGAAATGCTCCAGAGGCCCTCCAAAAGGGAGAGGGGGGATAAGAACAGGCCAGGGAGGGTGCCCGGCTGTTTCTCTTCCCCAAAAGGAGCAGCAGTTCAGCCAGTTTCTGTGACAGGCGATCCAGAAAGTGACTTTTGTTGGTCGCTTAAAGCTTTGCAAAAACTTAAGTTGAAAAGAAAGGAAAGCTCCAGACGGGGCTCAGCAGACCAGCCCCTCTCCTTTCCTGGTCAGCCCCCTGGAGCTGAAGGGCATTGGAAACCGGCGTCCAGCCATGACACTGGACCCGAAAGCCATCAGAGATGGCAGAGGGTTTGCTGGCAGAGCACTTGAGAAGGGATGCACATGCAGAGAGACCAAGCCCTCACACTCGCAAGGGTGCAAGTCAAAGAATCCAGGCCACGTTCACCTAAAGCGGAAGCCGGCACAACACGTCTGCCTTTTGCCCCGTTCCGCAACGGGTGCCCCTTGGAAAAGGGAAGCACAGAGTCCCAGATTCTGAAAGGCCCCCGTGGAGAGAGAGAGGCCCACCGACAGGCCCCTCCGCTCTCCTGGATCCAGCATCACCCTATTCAGAGTCAGAGCCACCCTGAGCTCGCCTGTTGCCCTGAGGCAGAAGAAGCACTCGAACTCGTATCCCTGCCCCCTTGCCTCCTGCTCCCTGCCCATGTGCCCCTTCCCCCCCCCACACACACACACTTTGCAGTGCAGGGACACAGAGAGGGGAGGGGGTTAGGGTCCTCCTTGCAGCTAGTGATAGAGGTCCTCTGCCCTCTGCCTTGAAACCTGCGACGCACTTGGGGAGGGAGGCACAAAAGAGCAGACACGTGGTGTGGTGCAGTCGGCAGCCAGGCACACAGTGGATGCAGGAAAGACAACACGGTCCACCAGAGGAGAGACAGAGCGGCCACAGGCTGAGAGGTTTCCAGGGGAGCAGCCTGCATGCTGGTCTGTTTCAGCAAACAAGAGTCTCGGGACACCTGAAAGACCAGCAAGTATTGCTCAGCACAGACTTTTGAGGTGACCGGCAGGGTCCATCACAGACTCCGCAGCCCTGGGACCGTGGGCTGGAGGCCACAAAAGTTTATGCCACATCAACACAGTCTTTGAGATGCCACAGACGTTGTTCACTGTTTTTGCTCCAAAAGGTGTTTGAAGCTCTCCACTCATCTTTCCTGCATGAATGCAAGTGCATGCGCGCACACACACACGCACACACAAAGGCACACATACATGCCATGCTCGCACACACACACACACACACACAAAGTCACACATACATGCCATGCTCTAGAAAGCAGCCTCCCTTCCAAAGCAGGTCACCACGAAGGAGAACGGTGCCGCCAGCAGCTTCCCTCAGCCTGTGGGCCACCCAGGTTTGTGGTCCTGTCCCTGCCGCCTGCCAATGTCTTGCACTTCCATCTCGCAAATTCCTGTCCGCTAGCTCATACCTGGCACTGCCAGGCTCCAGAGCTGCCTGAACGAGCACCCCCCTCGCTCCCCCTTCTCCCACCCCCTCTTGCCACCTCCAGGCAATGGTCAGCTCCACGCCTGCCCGCCCAATGCCTGCAGCTTTATCGGAGAAGCAGCGCCGTGGAGCCTCCTCCAGCGCCCTCGGCCCGTCCGCGATGGCCAGCATGCCTCTCCGTCCCCTGCTTCCCCTGGGTCTCGATCGCAGAGCCATGCAGGCCGGCAGTTCCTGGGGGTGGGTGGGTTCCCGCGCCGTCGAGGGAGGTCCCAGCGTCAAGCCTTTGGGGCTGCCTTCTGTTGACCTTTGGAGCCAGCCAGCCCGTTGTTCTCGGTATTATCATTTGCCGAGGAGCTCACGAGGCACTCCCTGGAAAGGAGGCAGGCGACAGACAGGTCATGCTGGCTGCAGCATCACAAGGCTTGGGGGCCATTGGGGCCAGAAGGTTACCCAGAGCCACCCCTGCCCCCAGAAGGGAGGCGGGCTGGCCCCCTAGTCCGAGAACTCAAGCCCCCAGGGAAGGAAGTGGGTGGGCCTGGGCAGGGCAGCCAAGAAGAGTTCCCCCTGGCAAAGCAAGCCAGCCCAATGCCTGCTCCACATCCCAAAAGGCCAGTGGGGCCCCAAAGCAACTGCCCACTCCCACCCCCACCCCCACCCCCGCTGTACCCTCTCAGCTGCCCTAAATGGGGCATGGGGCCAGTCCAGGAGAGACCCCACTCACGTCTTCTCCCGTGTTTTCTTGAGGATGAAGATGGTGAGCTTCTTGATTAGCATGATGAGGATAAGAAGTCCAATGACGCCCCCCACAACCGACAAGATAATCAGCGTCAACGTGTTGTCCTTCTTCTCCACTGGGTGGGGTGGGGGGCAGAGAAGAGGGTGAGCGGGAAGCCCAGCTTGGGGGAGCCTGCGGGGAGGAGACCCCTGCCTGCACAGCAGAAGACCCCTCCCCGCCACACATCAGGCAGCCCTCCTCCTTCTTTCCTACTTCTCTCGCCTCTCTCTCCCCCTCCCTCCCCCCCCCATAATGGTGCCAACTGCAAAGAGGATGGCGGCTCAGAGACTAATCTCAAACACATGGCAATCCAGAGCTCCCTACCAGCCCCCCCCCAGGGCAGAACTGAGGGGTGGCCCCACTGAGACCCTGGGGCAGCTAGCTGTGGCTCCAACAGCAGGGAGCCTCGTCCAGGCGGGCAGGACTTACACTCCACCACCACATTGAGGGTGATGCTGTCGTTGTGCACGGCGTTCCTCTCCTTTGGGTTCTTGACTAGGCAGGTGTACTTCCCGGAGTCGCTGAAGTCTGCGAAGAGGAGGAGGAGGGAGACGTTGAACTCCCGGTTGTCCTTGCTGAGGGGGATGTCATCGGGCAGCATGTACTTCAAGTCCGTCTTGTAGTTCTCGTAGGGCCGAGGCCTGGCATCTTTGCTGGTGATAATCCCTTTGAATATCTACAGGGGAGGGAGGGGGGGACATCAGGAGGTGAGTTGGGCTGGTTGGTGGAGGGGATGCTCCCCCAGCTGGGCCAGAAAGCAAAGAGGGCGGGGGG